TCCTAGACGAATTTGTGATTGGGGAATTGCGGAAACCTTGAGTAGAATGGAACCTAATGACCACATTATTTCTACCAGCGCTTCTTGCCATTCAGCCGCATTCGCTTCATTCTTTCCAGTGAATGGGTGTTGATAGAGAAGTACGAAAAGAAGTAGAACTTGTTACAGTGCCTCCATAGACCAGAAATGGACAGTGGTAAAGGGCCTAGCCACTTGCGCTATCCATGGACCAAATCCTCTACAGACTTGCCAGTTCTCAATCGTTCTGGGAGGAGTAACCAGGGTTCATTCGTTAAATCACTGTTAGGCTTGATTTTTTTGAAACCTCTTTGGAAGCATATAAATGCTTACTGAGACTGATGAACATCGGATATGGAAGGCATTTAAAATAGTCTGATGAGTGATCTACCCATGTCACCCATCGGTTTTGATTACAGGTAAAAGCAAACACTTATAACCAGTTCAAGATCAATAACATGTACAAGGAGGCAAGAGTTTTGCGACAGTACAAGCACAGGTATGTTGAGCAGCTTTTTTTTCAAAATGGAACCCGGCAGTTGTGGAAGAGAAGTCAAGCAATTGGGGACAGTAAGGGAAACTATTATTTGTACTGGGCAGCTCTCCCCGCCAACACAACATGAACCAGGGATGAGAGATGATAACCTAATTCAAAGACGGCAAAGACGTCAAGAAACTTGAGGAAGCGAAATGTTGTACCGAGAAAACCTCAGGAAGGGCGCAATGAAGGCTTGAGACCTGCCAGTTACGCCGGAAACGTCCATTTTTGGGCTCGTCCAGAACCTTTGCTAGATAGCGTCGCTGGAATGTGCGTTAGGTAGACATAAGGTTATAGATACTGTATTCCTCCCACAGAGCTCACTTTTGCCAAAACGAAGCCACCTTTCGTGACCAAACCTGGATCAGCATCGCATCGATGGAACCATTCCCACGGGTGTTTGATTCCTTCATAGACGATGTTATAGGAATATCGTTGCCTTCTATGGAATCGTCGATGACAGCAGTATTGACGTATTGATTGTTACGGAGCTGGTCCATGGAGAAAGACTTTCATCTTACATAAGAAGACATCCAGAAGTACGTTATTATGCCCCATCCAGACAATTAACCGGAGTGTTTGAAAAAAATGATTTCAGCTGTCCACTGGAATACTGTTTCTTTACGCCAGTGATGTCGCCTACGCACTACTATATCTACATAACAAGAAAGCCTTACACAGGTAAGCAATTATTTTCTGGGAAATATAATCAAAACGTTCGGGGCAGCCCATGAATCTGCTACAGTGAGGATGAGAACTGTTATTTACCATAACGAACACTGAAATGTTGATGTTCATTGTTTTATCCCTCTCATATTGAACGTTTGGAATACGTATAAAACCTCCCTGGCAGTAGTCCGTTTCTAGAGATGTTGCATGCCACAGTTGTATGCTAGATAAGGACCATAATCGAGTAAAGCTTTCGAATCTTGGATTATCAGCGAGAGGAGAATGTTACAAAATCAGCAAAGAAGAGAAAGTGCATTTAAGGATACGTTGGTGAGTAATTCATTTAAAGATTAAGCCAGCATGCTGAGCACAAGGTCAGGTAAGTACAGATAGACTGGAAAATTCTCCTGCGACGCCCCGTGCACTCAACATCCACACGCAGTTGGCGTGAAGGTGTATTACTCAGGGATAGTGAACATACTCCGACTTTAAGGTCATTAGAGAAAGGTTCAAGTATGCTTTCCTGGGTTCAGAAAGTTGAGAGCTAGGAAGCATTTGGAATTTCTGTGGGTTTTACAGATAAGTCTAGCCCCAACGTAATCAATTCGGTTCTGCACTTTTTCTCACAAAAAAGAGCTCACATCTGTGGTGGCCCGTAAACTTCTAATTTACCTCTTAATGGGGATGGTTTTGTAGCAGAATTCCAGTATTTCCCACATATTTTGTGGCAATCAACCTCCCACTGGAAATGAAAACCTTCCCTGCGCGCGATTGCGCGTGGTGGGGTGCGGCGAGTTGCGGTTCTCCGACGAGGTTCAAGACACCACACCCTCCGACGTACTCGAATGTGTGAGAAAGTAATTAGAACATGGGACATCCCCGTAAGTCAGGCTGAAAGTTACTGTACAGTTCACATAATCAAGTAGGCACCTAGTATGAATGGAAGACGAATGTGCGGCGCACCATTCAGGATAGCCCTGCTCAGAGTATTTCGGCTGTTTATCTGGAACTCTTAGCATTTAGGCACGCACCTGAAGTGATAAAAACTGGATTCTACACTACACCATCCGATGTCTTCTCCTATGGCATCCTCGTTTGGGAAATATTCCATTACGTTCAAAGGCCATATGGTAAAATTGAAAACCATGTCATACGAGAAAAGGTAGTACACGTTAAGTCAAAACCCATTTTTTCTAGAATACTCCTTCCAAAATTAAGGGAATTTTCAAACAACATTCTAAGAAATGTTTCCAAAGCAGGCGACCTTACTGCTAACGCTTCCCACTGATGTCGCCTAGGAGTTTCCCAGACGTCTTCATATATGTAAATTCACAAGTTTCAGATCTCTAAACCAGATTTTCGACCTGGAGTGGATAAATCACTTCCCGAAGAAATCAAACACATTATGGAATTCTGTTGGAAAGCAGATCCATCTAAACGACCTGTGATGGCTACTGTGGTCGGATACATCCGAAATAACGCAGGGAAAATGTGAGCCATACAGCATGAGAGCTTAGAAATGCAGCAAAACTCGCGACGAGGATTGACACTGAGCCTCCTCCGTGGCTCTTATTGAGGGGAGAGAAAAGATTAGAAGTTGCCTACTGTAGCCAAAAATCGATTCTTGCTATAGACATGGGTGAGCCCCCAGGACGATAGGCTGTTTGGACTTTCAA